CCCCCCCCCCCCCGGCCCAAAGTAAGCATCACTATTCAAAGGGATCTAAAAATAAAACCTGCAGGGACCCTCCAAAGGGATATGGGAGATGCTCTAGAGATGTTCTTGCTTCAGGGGAAGGCTAGAGAGAGACATGGAGAAATAAAGTGGGGGAGGGAAGTGGATTCAGAGGTTTCTTCCCTACAAAAGAAAAAAGTAGTACCCAGGGGTAGGGTTGGGGTGAAAAGTGTATGTCTGAGACCTGGGGAAACTGAGCACACACCCCTGCAGGGCAGTCTTCCCTGTGTGCCTGGAAAGGGGGTGCCCTTTCCCACATGGAGCCATTTCGCACCCCTGCCGTTTCTCCTGGGCCCCCATCTTATTACGTTTTACTTTTATTTTTTTTGGTATGCTGAGATTGGATGCCCACAGCTTGCAGCTCCCTGAGGAGGCGCTCTGATTTTGGCAGCTTATGTAGAGCACTACCATCCTGCTGTCCCCACGCTCGCTGTACAGCGAAGCTGGGGTGGGGGTAAGGATGTCATCCCCCTCCTGGGCTGGTTGTCTCTCTGTACCCCCCTGGCTGCTCCACAGGGTGGCCTACAGGTGGTGTGAAGGAGACCTGCATGGTCATCTACCCCATATCAAACTGAACCAGCAACAGAATGCAGCAATCTGTGGTGCTGACCCCAAAATTTCCCCTCTACGGTGGCCTTGGTCTTGGGAGGGGCTCTCATACCTTTTGAAGGTCTCTGATATCCATATCCCTTGTTGGCAAACGGAGGGCTGGGAGCGAAGGTGGCACAGGGGAGACGTGTGGCCATGTCCGATGGTGCAGGGGGACGGTGAGGAAGGAGCTGGAGGTAACCGTTTTGCTGCTGTGCCTACAGGTCTCTGGGGTTTTCCAAAGAGAGGAGTCATACCCCCCTCCCCCCCTTATTTGCCCAGGAAAGGGGAAAAGGAAGCTTCATCATGGACTACACAAGAGCCACAAAGGACAAGTTGCTGAGCTCAGCCCTGCTACAGCAGCAAGGACTTTAGTGGGATATAAACTCATCAATGACGCTGAGCCCTGTCCCTGGAAGTGTTCAAGGCCAGGTTGGATGGGGCTCTGAGCAACCTGGACTAGTGGAAGGTGTCCCTGTCCATGGCAGTGGGCTTGGAGCTGAATGATCTTTCAGGTCACTTCCAACCCAGATCATTCTGTGACTGTACAATTGAAAGGGAGGCGGCAGGCTCTCCCTCACACTATCTGGTGTACCTGTTCCTGTGAATGTCACTGGTTCTGCAGTCACCTGGGCAGCAGAATGTCCTTGGGCAGCCTGTGGGGATGTGAGCTGAGTGGAGGGTGGGGGTTGTGTGGCTGGAGGCAGAGGAAAAAGGACCTTCAAGAACAGAGAGTATCTGGGTCATGGTTTGGGAGATGGGTGTCAGAAGTGGGGTTCACACCCCAACTTGAGACTCTGGGGCATGGCGGGGGGCGGGGAGGGGGAGCTGTGGGGAGGCAGAAGGGGACACACTGTCCTGCTTTGGGGAGGCAGGCTGGGATTAAAGGACAGGGGCAGCAATTCAGACCCGTGTCCACAGGAAAAGTTTGGGGCTGAGGGAATTCATGGGGTAAAAAACGTTCTTCCCAAGAGCAATATAGGACCCCGCCCTTTACCTTCACTGGAGTCTACATCGATGCCACCGTCCCCTCCTCCCTCAGGAGCAATGGGCTGAGTAGGGTAGAGATCAGGCGGGACTGAAACAGAGGAGCGGGGAGAACAGTCAAGCAGCAGGTTTGTCCTCCCTAAACAGATCTGTTCTTTGTCACCTCGGAGGTGTCCCAGACTGGGGAGACACCTGGTGAGACAAACTCATTGTCAGACCCAGGGCTCCCCGCTCTCCATCCTTTTCCCCTCCATCCTCTTCCTCCCCCGGGGCTGGCGCCCCGCCCCGTGCCCGGAGGCGGGACCGAGGCTGGCAGGGAGCAAGAGCTGCGGGAGGGAGCAGGTGGAGAGGCAGTCCAGCCGCACGCTGGACCTCCGGCCCCGTCCCTGCAGCCCTGCGTCCGCTGCTCGCCTGCCGCCCAAGCCCCTGGCTCGGATGCGTGGGCTGGTGTCTGCTGGGGAACTGATGCCTTCGGTCCAGACTTCCCGCCGATGGCTCTGATCTCCTTTACCGGCCCCTCAACACCCAACCTGGGACCCTCGGTCTCTGTCAGGAGCAGGGATGCCCGCTTTCCTCCTGGCACGCTGTGCTAGCCACGTGCCAGTCGCCTTGGAGTATTTTCCCATCATGTGTTCCTTGCCTCGCTGGGTCATTGAGCCATCTGTAGTCTGTGAAAATTCTTGACCTGTATCCTTCCCTGCTTGACCTGTATCCTCCAGGTCTGCTGTCTCTTTGGCTTCCTGGCCTTCACCCACCTTATTCCTTGATCACACCCTGCTCATACCTTGCTCTTGGTTGATCCTGCTGTGTCGGAGGCTTCGAGAAGAGCGGACGGCTTCACGTGGAGGTACAGGAGGAGTTTGTCCTTGTTCAGTAGGATACCGACTAAGGCGGGAACAATTTGGGAGCCATGGGCCGTCGGCTCATCCATGGTCTCTCTGGAGCCGCAATCTTCCTTGCCAGTGTGGCTCTCCTCTCCATGCAGCACCGTGGGGCTCAGGAAACAGCTCGGTATCCAGGGCTCAGGGAGGGGATGTTGGAGAAGACAGAGCAACGAAGTAAAGAGAGCACAGAGAAAGCTGGTGGCAAGGGGCAGAAGGACCTCAAAGTCCATTCTCCAGATCGATACAGGACTGAGGGAAGCCTAACACTTGGAGACATTTTCATAGCTGTGAAGACAACCAAGAGATTTCATCAGAGCAGGATGGAGCTGCTTCTGGACACGTGGATATCCCGGGCCAGTGAGCAGGTGAGCGTCTGGATTTGAACTAGAGAGAAGGTGTTTGGTAACGGAGCACAGATGGAGTGTCAGGGCAGGGGTATAAAAGCCAAAGGAAGGGGAGGATGGGCACTGTAGTCCCACGCAGTACTTTGCCTCATTTTCTGTAATTCTCAATTCATATTGAAAGGGTGATGCTACCCAGCAAAATGTTTCACCAGTAGCTGCTTCATGGGAAAGGCTGGGTAGAGAGGTCACACCAGATTGAATGCACTGGCCATTCTGGGGCTGCATGAAAGGGTGGTTTTCTATATCCTAGTGCCATGAGTTTGCTAGGTTTGGAGCTGATTTGCTCTCCTGGCCCTCCACCAGGATGCCTGCATTGCACCTGGGCACCCGTTTCCCTGGGAAAGTGGAGTACAGTGGGCAGGAGAACAAGGTAGAAGGACGTGGAGGACCTCCTGGAGTCAGCCCTGTTTACTCCCCAGTACATCAGTGCAATCCATACCTTGCTTTCTTGGGCAGATGCTTTTAGGTGCATGATCTTGTAGTGATGTGGGTGTATATTTGTTTTTTAAAATATTTCTTTTAACCAGGTGTCCTATGTTTCCAGCCTTTGCTAAAGCAGTGTTTGGAGCACTTCCTTCCTGTTAGAGGAGCTGATGTGGGGCACCACATTAGTGGTGCTGTGCAGACTGGCTTGCTGGTGGGCAGGAGTACTCCCCAGAGCCTGTGTGCTTTTCTCCCTCCCTCGCAGAGCTGCTCTTCAAGAAAGAAGAAATCCTGTGGCTGCTCCGAGGGGTGTTTTTTTTCACCTCTGCCTGTGTGTGATGGGTGCCCAGAAGGCAATTTCAGGCCTCAGTGCGGAAGGGGGACGGGGGCGGAGGTATTGGGTAGGAGAGCGCTTGAAGCAATGCAGGGTTTTCTGGGTAAGGGTGGTTTTCCACTTCATGGCGCTGCAACTGTCTGGTCTGCTGCGGTCGTCACAGGAAGCCGTGTCCTATTTTGAGCACGCTTCCTCTCCTGTCTGCGTGTCCCACTCAGCATCTGAGGTGCCCAGCTTCCTCCTCCAAGAGCACTTCTCCTCTCCATCTGACCTCAGCCCAGCAACTCTTAGGAGAAACCAAACCCAACCACGTGGCTGCACTGGCATTAAGATATTCTTACTAGGGCCTTTGGAGCGTGTTTTTAATGGGCAGTTTCTTTCCTCACGTGTTTGACAAACCTGGCCATTCTGCTGACAACAGGAATTAGCTAGCTCTGCAGATTCGTCTGACACACTCTGTTTGGCATGCAAGTGGTGTCCAAACCTGGGAAGAGGTGTTGAATTTTTCCATGCTGCTGCCAGCCTCTGGGAAAACATCGCAGACTGGGCAGGAAAATAGGAAGGAAGGGTAGAGTAGAAGCATCACTCAATTTTAAACAGTGTTTTTTCGGTGTTAGAAGTTTTTGTTGCAAGCTCAGTGTTTTCCTTCCCCTCCTCGGTTTTCCATGTTTTTATTCTGCTCTTTTTACTAAATGGCTTTGAGGGAAGGGGAATGGGAGCAGGAAGAGAGATAAAGGGAAGTACATGAAAGTCAAAAACCTTTTTTTTTTTTTTTAATATATTCCAGCTTGAGGGGTTTTTTGAAATTTAGGGGAAAAGGTTAGTTTTGAAAATTTGACAATATAGAAAACCTTGTTTAGCCAAAAAAAACAAAAAAAAAAGTTTTCAATTTGCAAAGTTCATTTAACTGTTGTGGGAACAGGGATAGTGCATCAGACCTATTACGGAGTTCTTATGGAGAGGCGTAGGTTTTAGGAGCCAATCTTGCAGAGATCCAGGTCTCAAAAGTCTTGATGGACAAAGACTGTCTCCTCCAAGGGTGACCCAGCATCTTTCTGTCTCACTTGCCCTTACACAAGGCTGGAGACCAAGTCAGTGAGTCCTTCACCAGTGGCCAGCAGGGAAATTTTAGCAGCTGACCATGTTGCTGATGCCAAGCCTGGCTTTGGAGCTCATTACCTGCACAGTGTCCTCCTGGAGGAAGCAACCCAGACCTCACAGGTCAGGCTTAGGTGACAGTAACAGGAGGCAGGAACAGCTGTGGTTTTTATCGCTAGGACAGACTGCATCGTAGCCAAATTAAAAGTCCTCTGTGTTGGACTCTGTTGGGGTAGACAATGAGAGAGAGACATTTTCTCTGAAACTTCACTGCTCAAAGAGATGATGTGCAGTTGGTGAGAGATGGGGAAGTGCGAGATGGCACTCTTTGAGGGACCGTGCTCTGCCTCTTGAGAACTGATCCATGACAAACTCCCCACAGGAGGTTGACGTGAAAGTCATTTTAGAGAAAGGCCTTTTCCTGAGCAAAAGTTTAATTTAAACAGGAGTGTTGTTTTTGATGATTGTGTAGGCTGGGCAGAATCTTGGAGTCACTTATATTCTTGGCCCCAGTAGTTTTGATGGAAGTAAGTCTATCTTTCTGGCCTGAAATGGCATTTTGTTCGGTAATGTAAACTAATTCTAGCAGCTCCCCCTCTTTTAGAAGCCCACATATCCAGCCAGATGAAATGAAACCTTTGAATGACCCATCCTGAACTGGCTTTCACATTTTCAGTGTTGTGAATGCACTGTAGATTTTGAATCTGTGCTCTGGGCAGGACACAACAGTAACCCTGCTGAGGTATTTGTGTTTTGGAGGGGGATTCTTCACAGACAAGTGAGCCTGGGAGATGAACATGGCCCTGGATTGTCAGGTTCCACGTATTTTTTTCCTTTTCCTACTTTTTCCTTATTAGCCTACTTCCCCAATTTGCGGTCAAGAAGTCTCAGAGTCTCAGAGTATTTATCCATTGAATGGACTCTTATGTTCATGAAGAGCTGCCAGGCAAAACTGTTTGACACAGTGGCTCCATATTACTGCTTGCACTGCTACTGAGTAGAGACATACCTTTCCCAGCCAGACATCTTGTCCGCTCCAGAATGGAGGGACACTTTCTGTGCTTCATCTCTCCTCAGGCCCAGGTTGGCTGCCTTGCTGTAGCACTGACAGCTGTCCTGGCCCCGTCTGTGTGCAGAGGCACCACAATGGGAGATCCTGCATGGCCCTGTAGATGGTCTGGTGGAGAACAGGAGAGCGGGTATGAGGGGCAGGCTACTCCTGTCTAGCCCATTTGCCTGCAGGGACACAAGTGACATCAGGTGGTTTTCTGCTCCCACATCCCCATAGGTAGAGTAGGTCTGGCGAGAAACCTTCTAAATCTCTTCCAGACTCCATTAGTATGGACAACAGTGACTGGTGTCTCTTTGAGAAGGAACTGTGTAACTGGCTCAAATGATCTCCAGGCAGGTTTTTAGCCAGGGCTGTTTTCTCTCTCTCCCATCCCAGCCATCGTGTGTGGCTGTGCCGAGGGACTCATGGTGGTGGTCACTTGGATTCTGGCAGCAGCTTCTGTTCCAGGTTGCCCACTCTCAGGTGTGTGATGGATGGAGGGACAAGGATGCAGGCAACTGCCTGTGCTGCTGTGATCTTCTTTAGCATTTCTGGAGTACTGTAACCAGGTTTGCCACGGAGATCAGAGTTTGGAAGAGCCAGAAAAATCAGATTTGCCAAGTCCCCACACTCATAACTCCCTTTTTCAAGTTATTTTGGACAGTCTAGTGTTGCTCATGGTGACAGCATACCTTCATCCTTGGTTTCTCATAGAAACATGTTGGATTTCTGTAAAAAGATGTTTCCCATTTTGCATCAAGAGAAAAGTCTCAGATTCTCAGAATATTTTCAGAATTGGAAAATTTGGGAAAAGATGCAGATTGTTATTTTAAGTCAATCAGATGTGATGTTTGTTAGACACATGATTTCTGGTCGGTTTTATATCTGTAAGCAAGTAATTTCCAGCAACAGTATTTCTTGGGTTTATTTTGTAAGTTTCAGAAAGTTTCAACAGTTTTTTTTTTTTCTTAAGATGAAATATTTGTCATAGTGGAAATTTGTGACACTGACAGGCTGTCAAGGGAAAATCCCGTGACATTGACAATCGCTGCCTTGCCTGAAGGTTGTGATAAGGTCCCCTGACCCAGAGCAACTCTTTTACCTGAAACTTAGCTAATTGCTTCTTGTCCCATGATTAACTTGAAAGTGATTTTAACTAAAATATTTTACTAGTGGGGGAGGTGGGAATGTGTGTATGGTCCATTACTGCAGCTCAGCTGTGGGAGAATAGTTCACCAAGCCACTGTGGCACGTACATCTGAGACCACGAAACCATCCTGCTATCTCTCCTTGAGCCAGGTGATCTCTGAGGGTTCTTCACTGCCTTCTTTTCATGTACAGAACATTTCTCGTGCTGTGTCCTCTTGATAGGGATATATCTCCAAAATGCTGGGTGGGTGTGGGGAGATGTAGGGGCTCTTGTCTCCTTGCCAGAGCCTTTGGGAGCAATGATGGCTCCTGGGGCTGTTGTCTGCCTGCCTCGTTCTCTTTGTCCCTGCGCAGGTGCTGTGTTTAACCAGCCTGTGGGCAGCTGGTGGGGAGACTGTTTACGGCTCGCGACTCCTTTTTGATTTCATGAAAGCTCATTTTCTGCCTGAGGAAAGCTTTTTTCCACTGGCCCTGATCCTTGCCTGGCCCTGAAGAGGGGGAGATATGCCACATAATGGGAGCGAGGGGGATTAGAGAAGCCCGGGGGTGGAGGAGGAGGAGGAGGAGGGGGTGGAAAATGGAAGGGGGCTGTGCACACTTAACACACAGACAGATGTTCTTCTTTTAACCCAAGCATCATTTAACCACAATGCTTTAATTTATACCAATGACACCTAAGCCAGGGCTTCCTCACCCCCTCACTCAGTGTCACAGATCCCCCGTTCCCAAGGCAGTGGGACGGGGGCAGAAATGAAGCCACACAAGTGCTGATGATTGTGCTATGCAGGAAGGGAGAGCATAGCCCTCCTTCTGTTCAATTGCTGCCTGAGAGCAGGCTACAGCAGCAGAGGATGGGTTTGGACTAACCATATTGTGTGTGTCCAGCTGTGAGAGGAAGGAGTGGGCAGCCAGGAGCAGCACCCGTCCTTCCCTGCAGGTAACCTCTTTTCCTTGTTTCCCCAGACCTACGTCTTCACTGATGAAGAAGATGATGCCTTAAAAAGGAGAATGGGTAATGACCTATCCTATAATACCACCTTTCCACCCTGTCTTCAGCCTCTGAACTGCCATGGCTGTGAGAAGGGGTCTGGCATGAAGGCTGGCTCTCCTGCACCATCACTGACCATTGAAACATGTCCCTCACCTTGTCCCATGGGAGGACCTCAACTTGTGGTGGTGATGATTTGGTGTATTTGGCTTGCCCCAGGGCATGCAGCCAACTGGAGGCAAGCTGCCGCCTGCCCTAAAGAATCTGTGGGTGTAAGCTACGCATGACAGAGCCCCTCAAGCCCTGCATCGTGGTTGGCAGTGAGCAGGGTGGAAGTGCAGATGGCAGGTGTCCTAGTCTTGGCCATCTCCTGGTAGGGGGAAAGCTGGAACCCATGTCACCATGAGCTGGGGTACCTGTTGGGAGGCCGTGAGGAGGCTGGCTGTGAACAAACCCCTTCCCTTCTGCCCAGATGTCCTTGTGACCGCTTTCCCTTGTGACAGTGCTTTCCCTCTGCTGTCAGGTGACCATGTGGTCTTCACCAACTGCTCTGCCGAGCACAGCCACCTGGCCCTCTCCTGCAAGATGGCAGCTGAGTTTGACGCCTTCCTGGTCAGCGGCCGGAGGTGAGGCAGAGCTGGTGGGGGGAACCCCTGAGACCAAGAGACACCCTCCTTGCCGCAAACCTCTTGTGTTTTCCTGTCTTCCCCAGCTGGTTTTGCCATTTGGATGATGACAACTACCTGAACCCTCAGGCCCTCCTGAAGCTCTTGTCCTCCTACTCTGAGACACGGGATGTTTACCTGGGGAAACCCAGCCTGAACCGACCCATCCGGGCCTCCGAAACACTGCCAAACAACCAGACGGTACAGCCTTTGGTGGTGATGCAGGGGCCAGTGGGTTGTTTTGGTGCCCTGGCTAATTGGCTGTAGACACACTGCAAGGAGAGAAAAGTCCCAGGAGCACTGGGCAACAGCTGAAAACTTGCCAGTCTTGTCTGAACATGGTTGTAGGTGTTTACTAAATTTGATCAACATAGGGGAAGAGTCTCACATTGCAGCTCTGCCTTTGGCTGCCGGAGGTGGACCAGAGGAGGCCTACAGAGCGTGGAGAGAGATGAAAAAGCGCTGCAAGGAAGACTCAGAGGAAGAGATATCTCTAGAAGACTTTTAGCAACTTCAGCTGTGCAGAACTGCCTGGGAACCAGCTCAACTACAAGGCCGCAGCACTGCAGCCTCAGCAAATTCCCCTGTCCGTGCACCCAGGACAGTTCTTCCACTGTTCCCCTAGTTCTCCCTTCCCCCTAAGTGACCTGACATATGCCTTTAGCCTATCTCTCCAAGTCCCCATATCAGAAGCCCTCAGGATTTGGTGTTCCTAGCCGGGGTCCTACCCCTATTCCTGAACCTTCTGTGTTCCCCTGTATATAAGCTGTCTTCTTGTTTTAATAAACTGCCATTTTGTGGGTCACATCTCTCGTGTGTGTGTCCCGTCTCCCAGTGCAAAATGTGCCACTGGGTCTTGCAGCAGGTCCCCCCGTTTTTCATCTCTCTCCACGCTCTGTAGGCCTCCTCTGGTCCACCCCCGGCATTTGGCTACCTGTCTGACAGGAGATAAGCCTGCCCTGGGCTGCCCACCCGTTGATACCAGCAGGAGCTTGGCCATTCCAATTATGAGGACGTCAAAATAAATGCTGTACTGCCTCTGGACAGCAGTCAGGGGTCTGGGATGACAGTAGGGCCGTGTTTGTCCTGGCATCAAAGCCGGATTTGCAACATTCCCACCTCTGGGAGTACGGTATCGTCTGAGCCTCTGCCGTTGATTTTCTTTGGTGTTTCTCTCCAGAAATCTGTGCGCTTCTGGTTTGCCACGGGAGGGGCTGGGTTCTGCATCAGCCGCAAGCTGGCAAGCAAGATGGTGCCGTGGGCCAGGTGAGCTGTGCAGCTGGTGAGCATGGGAGCCATCGGGGACAGCAACGTGGCTGCACGTTAATTCCTGGCAGTGTCAGATCTGGATTTGTGCATGTAGTGTTTGCAAAGGTGCAGAGTGCCGCATCCTACACATCTGAAAGCATGTGGGACTGGAGGAAGGATGTAATGGGTGGGTCTGCCCCTTCACTGAAAACAGGCAAGAGCAGGCACAGCAGCAAACATTATCATAGGATGATATACTTCCCTCTCCTCATCTCCTTTAAGCTCCTGGTTACTCCCCACATTCCTTCCCATCCCTTCAGCTTCCTCGCTTTTCCTATCTGTCTGTCTCCTCTCCCCTTCATCTGCCTCTCTACTTAAGCTCCCTTCCAAGCTAATTTTCTGTTCCCTTACCCCAAACCCTCTTCAGCTTCTTAGAGTGGCCACTGTCATTTCCTCAGCCTGACGCATGGAGATCAGAGGTATGTCCCAGAGTATTGTCCCATGGTATTGTGTTAGCCCAGCCTACAAGAAGATGATGTATTCCATGATATCCTAGGTTATGTCACAGGCTGTGTGCACATACATTGGTAGGCATTGGCTTTACCAGCTATAACCGGACCTGAGCGTATCCAGAAAGACAGGTCTGATCCACACCAGGTGGCTAGTTTAGATGAAGCCCATGATACACATTTTATGGTAGGAGGAGGATGATCTGTGATCTAGTGTGAAATTAAAGTGGCACAGAGGATAATGCCTAACCTGGCAAAAAGTCTGCCACTATTTTTTTAAAATGCTTCAAACACATTTGAACTAGCTGAGAGTTGTTATAGTAGACAGTGCTTCATGCTGCGTAACTGATTCCAGTTACAGAGGCCTTAAAATTGGGTTTAGGCTATCATTAAAGGATGCCCAAGCGTGTAGTGTTACATTACAGCAGAGCCACGGATGGCTTATGCAAGCTGCAAAACTGTTTCTTCCTCCTGGTCCTGGCTTTGTGCTCCCACCGTTTCTCTTGTGGTGGCTTGTCTGACCCCTCATGGGCTCAGTGCTGCACACCAAACAGGAGGAGAAGTGACTCTTTGAAGTCTTTCAGTTCTCTGCATCAGCTCACTGAGGAGCTGGTACGTATCAGGGACAGCACCTGACAATCCATGGGACAGCAATGGCTGGGAATGCTCAAAGAGTAAACACTTTCCCAAATCTTTGCAGGTGGAACTCAGGAATTTCTTGCCTAGTTCCAGGATTTACTCTGGTTTTCAGTAATATCCCACCCAAGTGGGTGCCTGTATCTGCCCCTACCCTTTTCCTAACCCACACAGTCCTACTCTCTTCCAGTGGCAGGAACTTCCTGAGCACTTCAGAGCTCATCCGCCTGCCGGATGACTGCACCGTGGGTTACATCATTGAGTGCAAAGTCGGTGGGCACCTGTTGCCCAATGCGCTCTTCCACTCCCACCTGGAGAACCTGCAGCTCATCCCCACCTCTCAGCTCATCCAGCAGGTGAGGAGGGGAAATGGAGCAAGAGGGAGGTGTGTGAGGAAGGCGAAGTGGAGCGGAGCTTGTGGGCACATTGCTCCAGTGCACTGATGTGCACTGAATCAATCATCTGCTCTTTTGGGGAGGCTTTCCTGACAAACGCTCCTTTGAAATGAAGAGCAGGTGTTGCCTGCAGCACAGTTGCCAGGCACAGTGTCCTGGGATCAGTGGTGGGGAGCACATGTATGGGGAGTGATGGGAGGGTTGAGGGCACCCCTAGGAGAACGTGGCACAAGGACAAGCAGAAATGATGACTGACTAGGAAAGGGACTTTGACATGGCGCCATGTCTGCCTTGTGTGGGGAGATAATAAGGGGTGTAGGGGGCTTGGAGAGGCGAAGGACTAGCAGGGTCCTCCATGGGGAGGAAGACAGGAGAGATGTGGAAGGCAGAGGCCAAGCCAGCAGAGAAAGAATGAGAAAGGGACCTTCTGTCACCCAAAGCAAGTTCCTTGGTCCTCAGCTCACCTCTACTCCCTGCTCCTTTCTCACCGCCACCTTGTAGGTCACCCTCAGCTACGGTGTCTTTGAGAACAAACTCAATGTTATTGAGATCAGTGGCCCCTTCTCACCACAAGAGGATCCCTCAAGGTATGGGGCATGAGTGCCCTGGGTGTTGCTATGGTGTGAGCCCTTAGACAATAGTTTGGGAAGGGTAGGGCAGCCAAGCAGCACGCAGGAGGCCGAGAGTGAGGGTCAGAAACCTTACAGTCACATGGATTATTGGGTGAGGTGCACACCAGCATTAAGCTGTTTGTGAACGCTTACAAACTTTGCAAACCTTTTTGGATGAGTGGGAGGAAAAGGAGCATTCAAAACATTTTATTTGGACAATTCCTAATCCAAAGGTATTGCAGTTTTTTCACATTTTGAGGCTGAACAAGCTAACTTTTACCTCAGGGACAGGAACACAAATGTTCTTTTAAACTCAGGAAAGGAAATTCTGCTTGCTTTTTCATTTCATGCTTTGCTGAGAAAACTGAAGGGAAAAAAGGAAAAGGTTCACTTTGGGCTTACTGCAAACAAAACTGTTCTTTGATTTACCTTCTCCTCTTCGAGTGAACAAACCTAAAGTTGTTATTTGCAGAGCATGGATAGGAAGATCCTGGCTGGAGATAGCAGGGGTGGGAAGGAGCTGGGTGATGAAAAGAGGAGCAACAGAACCATGTAGCTGGTGCACCAGGGACTGGTGCAGTACCCATCTCCCTGCCTGTGATCAGGGTGAGCTGCGGGCTTGGGCTCCATGGTCCAGAGCTGGATTCGGGTATCAGAGGGAGGCTTGTCTGCTTAGCTTTGCTGAGAAAAGACATCTTGAGGTGAACAACCAGTCCTGAGCTCTGTGGGGCAGGTTGGGCACCTGATGTGGAATGGGATGGGAGGGAAATGTCTTCCATTTTACAGCTGTGTGCTGGTGTAAAAACTGTCACCTGACCTTATTTTGCTTTCTACCCAGCAGGTTTCGATCACTCCACTGTCATCTTTATCCTGACACCTCCTGGTGCCTGCAGCCTGTTGGCTGGTGATGCCTGAGCCTCAGCTACAGTTGGTCCTGATGATACCTATGCACCTTGTAGGGGATGGGACACTGAAGAAGCTTGGTGTCTCCAATTTTGCCTTTTTAGAGGTGGTCTTGGGGCTCTGGGATGGCTTTTTTGGTCCTTACTTGATACTGGTGACACAGGAAAAGAGACAAGATCTTTCCCAAAGATGTATAACATGGGCTGGACACATGGATGAGCTTCCCATCTGTGTTGGATACATACAAGGGATGGGAGCAGTATGCCTTTTGAGCAGATCAAGGACCGAATAGTAACTGCTAGGCACCTCGGTAGAGATGAGGACTTGGTGCTCTGTGCTGTGGCTGCATCTTGCTGTCTAGAAATGCCCTAGGTGTGTGTAACCAGTGCCTAGCTGAGGATGGCTGACAACATGTCATGGCTCCAGACTCTGAGCAAGGCCTCTTCCTCCATATCTGCCTGTGCTTTCCCTGCTTGCAGCCGCTGACCTGCTGAGTCTCTGCCTAGTCAAGACCCTATAGAAATGGAAAATGTGACCATTTCTGTGCTGAATGACTACTGGAATAGCATGGTTCTTGCTCAGCAGAGGGGAGATGGGCAGAAAGTACAAAGAAGCAGGAATCCCCTGCTCTGCTGGGACAAAGGAGAGGAAGAGTGAAAGGGAGCCAGGAGAAGACTGACAGAGATGAGGACAGTTCCTGGACTGAACACTGATCTTGTATAGTGCTGCATTATTCCTCTCTTTTTACCTTCTTGATGTGGGGTCAGGATAATCTCTTGCTCTAATTACCAGCCTGTCGTCTGAGATGAGACTCCAGCTCCTATCTCTGAGAGGAGACATAAAGGATTAGAACTGGCTGAAAGAGAGGAGAAAGGAAGAGATGGAGAAGGAGCTCTCAGGAGCAGATTAGGGGTTACAGCTTTATAATCTTTTCTGTCCCCGACTAAAAAATTAAGTCATGGAGGAATGGAAACAGCAAGGCAAAGACCTTTTTATCTCTGTGTTTCTTTACTCCAGAGGCTAATATAGCAGCTTTCTGCCTACCTGCTGTCCCTGCTGAGTGCAACAGGGGGAAGGAGTGTACCCAAACAGGTTACAAGCTTTCTGGCATGTTTGTGAAGAGTCCTCTACTAAATATGGAACCTGGTGTGAAATCTGGGCAGTGCTGCTTGCTGGGGAATGAACTTTGGCATCATTTTGCCCTTGTACACACAGTTAAATGGTTGGGGGAGAGTGTTGCGCGGAAAGCTGGAAGGCAAAGAGGTTGTTTTAAATGGCAGGTGGTGCCACAAACAGGTATTTCTCTTTAAAGTGCATTTCAAAACAGACTGCTGGGATCTGTGAGAAATCCAGATGAAGGGACAAATGCCCTTTCTCCAAAGAGCTGCTCATCTTTGATGCTGCTGATGTGACTAAGCCTGCTGCTGGTGGGCTGGAAGAGCCAAAGGCAACTGTCACTGTGGCTTTGCTGTTTTGAAAACTGGCCACTCTGTCACCTCCTCCCCCCACACACACCAGCATCTCCTACACAGCATACATGAGGTTTAAAGGAAAGGCATCAGAAAGACCCTCTGCCTCTGCAAAGAGGGATCTAGAAAGGAATGAGCACTTTAATGTCTGGAGAAGCAGAGGGCAGCAGCCTGTAGAGCTGTTTTCCAGCCTGGTCATCCTTACTGGCATTTAATCAGCTTGTGTAGCAGCAGAGACCCCTGCTTTCTTCTGTTGCACAACATGCCTTTGAACTGGAAATTCATCCTGAGTAGGGACAGGGGCTAGCTGATGCCAATGACCATTCCTTGAGCTGTGCAAAGCACTTGGCTCACACAGCTGAGCTAATGGAGGAATCATGTGACACAAAACTGACACAACTATCATAAGAGAGATGCAGCATAAAGAAGTCCTGCCCCACAGGGCAAGCAGTTGGGTTTGAACTCAACCAGAAGAAGAAATACACTTTCATGAGAAGAGGTGAGTCTTCAAGAGAAATCTACACTACTTGGATATATCCTTTTTCCCCATTCAGACTTTCAGCTGATGTTAATAGAGACTTTGAGTTAAAAAGCCGGTCCTATCTGTAGATGTCCTGGTGACAGTTAGAGCAAAATGTGATTCATGTGAGAAAACTGGTACAGCAGCTTCACTTCCCTGGGGAAAAGCAAAGCAGTGAAACTGGAAGCTTGCTTTAGATCCTGGCCTCAGCTGGTCTGAATTGACCTGGTACCTTTTGCATGGCTGAAGATCAGATGTTTAATGGGTTGAGTCCTTGAGTGGATGCATGGGGACCTGTTCAAGACTGGGCTTCGTTGCTGGAGCAGTTAAGTGCCACTTTTGTGGAAAATGTCTTGTCTCATAAGAAAACAGAACAGATGAGAAGATCTCTGGGGCAGGGCATCTCTTGGGCTGTAGAGAAACGAATGATAGAAAAGTCCTGTTATGCCTGTGACGACAATACGCTGGAAAGAAAATAGCATCTCAGAGTCGACAAAAGAAACCAGGTTTTCTCTACGAACAGAGAGACAGCTTAACGGGACATTCACCACATGAAATCTGATCAATGTTAAAACATGAGTTAAAATTAGTTTCAGGAATGGTTCCTGCCCCTGGGGCTTGCTGTCAGATGCTGTGGTTTTACAGTCTCATTTTCCTCGTTTATTAAAATGTTTGGCTGCTTGGGAAAATAAGAAACAATCTCATCTGAAACTTTTCAGGAGACTGTCTTTTTTTATTCTCTTTCATGATTTTCTGATGTAACAAAGATTCTGGAAAGGTTCCACTGAGTCTATTAAATTTCTATTTTTTCTTATTCTTCCTTTTTTTTTTTTTTCTTTTTAATATCTCTACCTTTCTCTAGCTCACTCTTCCTTTTCTTATTGCAGGGAAAAAAAAAAAAAACAACCCAAAAAAACTCTCCAAAGAATGAAAAGGGATACAGACATGGTCTTTATATTTTACTGGGGAAAATGGGGTCAAAGTCAAAGGTGTTGGCATGACCCTGCTGTTGTACAACATTAAGTGTAGTTCAAGGTCTCAAGTACAGAGACCTCTGCCTGCCCAACACCATAGCAACCAACACTATTAACGATGTTTAAACTGTATACTGAAAATTCAGGAGAAGAAGAAGGAGGGGGGGAAAAAAAAGCAGTTGCAGTATTTGAAATGTAAAATATTAAGTGGGGCTTTCATGTTAACAATATCTTTTCTTCACTTTCCCCTTAGCGTGAAGAATTTTTATAAGAAAACCCCTATTTGACAGTGCAAAAAAAAATGCTAATGACTATCCTTTCTTTAGGGGAAAAGAGAAGTTAGTTGAAATAGGTGGGAAACTGCAGTTGTTGCTAAAGACTTGAAGGGGAGAGAGAAGAATAGCAACACTAGACAATGCTGCTGTCTCTGGTGCCAACTCCTCTTAACAGCTCTGCTGCCGCAGAAAAACAGATTTTTAAGCCACTGTGGGATTTACCCAACTTGTACCCAGATTACAGCCTTCAGCTCTCTCCCCAGGCTTCTTGCTAAAGAAGCGCCTTCAAAAGACAAGGAGTTTATTAGAAGCCAAAAGATGAGAAATAGGAACAGGAAGAAAGGAGATTGGAAGGAAGGAACCACCAAGCAGGGCCTTGGAGGAGAGCATGGGAATTTCAGCTGTGCATTGAAAATGATGTTTGGGAGCTGCCTAAAAGAACGGGAGACGGGGTGTTGCCTGCCCTCCCCCATCTCCCTCAACTCTGGATGTTTTTTTTTGTGATCAGGACAACTGCAGCTCACCAGTGCCACTGAAGATGCCAGCCTGTGAGTCAGTTCACCTTGGAGGGAGTGAGATCTTGTTAGGTTGGCCCTGAATCTCTTTTTTTTTTTTTAAATAACACTCCAGATAAGTCAAAGTCTTTCATCAAAGTTCTATTCAATTTCTTACAGCAGATTTAGCTTCTTATTTTTGATACTTCTACCCTTGCTTACAATGCAGACTTTTCAGGAAGTCCAGGGTGGGATCAGCAGCTCTTTTCATTGATTTATTTCTTTTGTCTTTGGTCTCTGAAATTGAGATTGACAGCTGGCTCTACTCACTTCTGGGCTGGATGCAAAGCTGAGGGAGGGTGGGTGACTGCTCCATTCAGTTATTGCATGGTCACAGAGAGGCATGGACCATCCTTATGTTCTTCCTGGAGGAACCTGCTAGCAGTTGGTGCTACAGTTGGATCTCATACCAACTGGGACTTTCTTCTGTGCCAAGCTGAGCTCATAATGCAGCTCCGCTAAAGAGGATGCTAGTATTACCACAGATATAAACAAGACCAGGAAGAAGAGAACCATCATAAATGTGTAAGTAATTGTGCCTGTTTTCACCAGCAGATACAGGGATTTTTCATGGAGACTTTCTACACAAATACCTGGGAGGTTAAAGGAGTGCAGAGCTGAGCTGTTGTTGCTCAGATGGCATTGCTTCTTTAAGGCTGTTCCCTATAGGCCTGAGATTTTTGTCACTTCCAATTTGATCCAGCTTGGACTCCAAGAAAGCTGGGAACTCATCTCTCTCCCTGTTTGAACTGTATGCGATTAATTGCAGACCCCAAGAATGGGCTCCTTGCCTCTCTCTTGTGTTTAAATTGCCTTCCACATTTTGCATGGCTAAGGAGCCTCTTCAGATTTTACATCTGACTGTGCCTTGGTCAAGCTCCCTTGGTTTTGTTGAAAGCTGCATCTGATCCATAGTGAACTTTAAGAACAAATTAAATTGGATGCTTTGTACATGGATTTGCTGACCTTGACCCCTCTGAAGCTGCTTGAAAAGAAGACAGTGTTGATTTTAGCAGTGTAGGAAAAAGAAACAGGGCAATTGGATGGGGAGAGATGCTATTCTGAAACCCTGCTTTCCCCATCCCAACCCCAGAAGTGGGGCACAGAGAGAATCTGCAGCTGGTGCCTTTGGCCATGGTGTATCAGATGGAGGATATGCCATGAAATACCCAGCAATTGCACTGGCAGAGAATTCAACAGCTCTGGTTCTGAGCCAAGGCCAGCTTGTACTTCGTGCTGGACAGGGTGCCTACCCTGAATTACTTACAAGCAGAGACAGGGTGAGGAAGGAGGGGAGGGCTTACATGATCCATGAGACAGTATTTTCATGTCTAAGCAGGAAGAATAAGATGGTCTTTGGGCCTGGGAGGGGCAGAATTCGGGAGCAGAGTTCCCTCTCTACCCAGAAATACCATGAAGTGACAGTTCTGAAAGATATTTGATATAAGCACGTGGGAAGGAAGAGATGAAGAAGTGGTTTGGATAAGAGAAAGAAGCAGAACAAAATCTACATCCTCTTCATGGCTGTGGTGGTAAATAATGAAGGTTGGCCTGATGACTGGTACCTTGGGGCTTAGGGATTCAACAGAAACAGGGGAAAGCTGGAAAGAAAAATGCAAGTACTGTCTTCACACACTTAATGCTGGCTTGTGGCTTCTAACTCATGGCTCCTCCAGTAACATAGGCTTGGAAAGAGCATCAGCCTCTGTTCTATGCTGCATTTCTTCTGCCTGAACATACCACATGTAACTCAGCTTTCATGAACACCCAGAGAAGCAGCAGACTGGGGCAATGAGCAGAATGGATGTGCTGAGAAGAGTCTGCCCCTTCCACAATACCCCACCTTTCCCACATCACCATCAGCTTTGGCTGGAGTGAGGCTGATTGTAGAAGCTGGCCAAGCTCTATTCACTTGGTGTTCTTCCTACTTTGCAGGGGAGAACTCTTCTTCTGGGCTCTCAGACAAACCTGTTTCCCAAAACTGTGATGTGGGGTGCAGACAGACGAGGTCTTGGTGCAGCTGGTAGGGAGAGAAGGGCCCTCCCATGCCCCCCTCCCTTTACCCCGGCATATTTAGCTAGTGTTGGGCAGTGTCTGTTTTTAGCAAAAGTCGCAGATTCAACAGCTGAGCTGATTTTCCAAAGGGACATATAAAACAAACAGCCTGCCATCTGCTCTATTGTCCTGGAATAGCGGCTTGGAGGGTGGGGTAGAGGGAAGGAGGAGAATGAGGGGAATGAGAAATGGAGGTGAGGGAGAGGGTTGGAAGGAGTGGGAGCAGAAGAGAGGAAGAGGCAGAAAGGGGAGGTAGGGAAGTCAAGGCAGAGAGGGGAGGGAGAAGGTGGAGGTTAAGAGAAGAGTGATAGAGAAGGACATAAAGATAAAAGGGGAGCTGCATGAAAGTGGGAATTTGGTAAGGGGAGAGGACCAGAGACAGGCATGGGGGCAAACAGGGCTTGCTTGGATCACCCTGGCTGGATTCCTATCAGCATTGTGAGCCACAGGGGCAGGCACTTTAAGCACCCCCGTCCTTGCTGAGCCAAAGTCTGACTGCAAAAGAAACAAACTGGACTTACTGGCGTGGATAATCCCTCCCCTTCCTCCCACACAGCCCTGCCTGCTTGCCTGCTGCACACCCCCACTTCTGCGCTGACTTTTATTGAGTGCCGCAGGGCAGGGATTGAACTCCAGGTTTGGCAGCAGAGTAAATAACAGCAACACTGGCCTCTCCGGCCCGGGAGGAGGAGGGCTGGTTTTAATCAAAGGTAAATAACAGTCAGTATTGTCTGACCCTTAATCCAATTTTCTAGAACTGGAGAATTATGTTCCAACTTAGACACATGGCACTGGCTCACTGGAGAGGAATGGCTACTCAGTAAGCCAGCTGCTGGGCACAGGACAGCCAAGGAGAACAGAACTGGGGGAGATGCCACAAGGCAAGTAATGTATCCTGGCTGATCTGGGACTGTGTTCTTCTGTTCTGACTCTTTCTGGTTTATTTTCCTTGCTTCAGTCATCCCAAAAGATGAGGCTGGCTTGCTGACAGGCAGCACATCCCCATGAAATGTGGACCCAGTTGGTTGAAAGCTCCCTAATTTGCTCTTTTGACAGGAGAGTTGGGACCCAACTGATACTCCGCATCTGCATCCCTGAAGGTCATTTTGCCTTTCATGGTGACCTGGAGAATGGTGTTTATGAAGTGCTTGCTGTTATATGGTCATGGCAAGAATCACTATGAGTTCCTGATACATGTTAAATGTAAGCAAGATTTCAGTGTTGGAAAGAAGTGTTTGTGGTGGTGTTGTTCTGGTAGGACAAGCATCTGCGTGACTGGAGAGTGTGCGTTCTGACTTGGCAACATATTAGAATCACAGAGAGTTAGCAAGGTGGTGTTATTGAGCTTTCAGGAGGTTGGCTAATCCTTCAGCAGGGCCAGCCTCCTTTTACTGCTTCTGTCAGTGTGATGGTTCGGACTTGGTTCCCTGCCAAATGCCCAACCCCCCAGTAGCAGCCCCTCTCTTCCCCCCTTTCTACTTCCCCCAGGGCAAAGGAAAAAAACTATGCAAATCGAAGAACCCAAAAACCAAGCTAGTTATATATAAAAGATATATTTTATGTATGTTACAGTTAAGATGCTACGTACACAGCAAACGGGAATCCAAACACCCCCCAAAGGGATAGGGAAAGGGGAAAAAGGGACAAAAGGAAACAAAAAGGGACACCGAATAGATATGCGCAATCAAACCCGAGAACTAGTAAAATAACTAGTAAAACAAATCTCCCCACATCCCTTAGAAAGCAGGATTGGCAGACACGGCCAGCACTCTCCAAGCTTCCACGTGGCAGGTCAGTGGATGCTGCAGGCCTCAGCCTTAGATAAGCAAGACCAACGCAGGGACCCACTGTTCCCAAACTCCGGTGGAAGAGAAGAAGAACAAAGGCCGCTCCTCCCTTCTTATTTATACCACGATTTACGTAAAAATCATATGGAATACTGGGAA